AGCTGGCGCAGTTTACAGGGAATACCCCTTATATCTACATATGCATTTGCTGCTAATAGAAAAGAGAGAGATAGAGAGAGAAAGATAGAGAGACAGAGAGAAATGTGGCGAGAGAGAGAGAGAGATATATATATATATATATATAGAGAGAGAGAGAGAGACAGAGAGAGACACAGAGAGAGACACAGAGAGAGACAGAGAGAGAGAGACAGAGAGAGAGAGACAGAGAGAGACACACACAGAGAAACGGGGCGAGAGCGATGTGTGAGAGACAGAGAGAGATAGAGAGAGAAAAGGAGAGACAGAGAAACTTAGATGTGTGTGGCATATACAGGAGAACAATGTTTCCTATAATTTGTATACAAATGAATGATTCAAGACACCGTATGGATATTAATTACATAACAAATATTTCATCTCTCAACTGTAGGTCATAATAGAGGTTTTTCTTGGAAATTTTCATAAGTAACCCCTCTGGTTAAACAACCACTTGATATTATAAGGAAGAAACAAACATAAATGTACATTATTAAATTATTACAAAAACAACAAGAAACAAAACCACAATTAGAATGAAAATTCTTTGTGAAGGTCACTTGAAAGTTAAACAGAACCAACTTATTGTATCTCTACACCATCACTCTGCTCATACCAAGTAAGAAAACCAACAAATGGTTTGTTGATGCTTGTCTGACATAGCAACTACTACTGTATTCCAATGCAATAGTTCATCACTGGTCTTTAACGAAATATTCGTCTAAAACTTGAACATATTTGTAAATAACTGGTCTTATGCAAATACATGTAGTAATAACAAAAGTAAAAAAATAAACTAATCATTGCACTAAATAATATAAGCAGAATAGTTCATCAGTATACCATGAAGCATTTTGAAATACATAATCTGGAATTTCCCAATAGAAAGATGTGTTTTTCTTGATCAGAAGAGATGAGAAAAGAAATATGATATTATCAAGTGCCAATCGGTCATGAGAACCTTTTGGGGCACTTGACCTATAATATAGACCAATTCAAGACTACTGGTAGTATTGAATCCAATGACCGGGTTGATAGTATATCTGCAAAACGCTTAGAACATTGTAAATATATTGAGCACTATATAAAAGCAGAATATTATTGTTATTATATAGCAACATGGCACAGGCCCCTAGCCTTGTTCACGTTTACAATTGATCCACATCAATCACAACTTCATATCAATGGCAACTCTGTACTAAAGAGACAGGAGTTTGTAAGCTTACGACTGATTAGAGGACTTGTGATCAACTGGAATCAATCGCAACTCTCAATATGATACGGTTCTGGTCTTAGTACCAAAAGCTTCCGTGTTCAAATCAAGTCCATGTACAGATGCTCTTGGAAATTCAATACATTTTAATTTAGTGATCTGTATGATACGACTTCTGAGTTGTAAATTTACATTTCTGGTTGTTTTGCAATTGATATACACGTATATATACCTCTTTCTATTCTTATTGGCAATAACTCTTCTGTGGATCAAACAGGGAAGCCGGGAACTGACAGTTGACTTCTGGAAAACGTGCAGCGCACACATCATCTGGTAGTGCCGTATTAGGGTGTTAACTGTGTGTTAAAGACCCTATCCAATGAAAATAAAACTTTATAATGGAAAGCTGAATGACTGTAGAATACAAATACAAAGGAATACACAAATGTATTACCTTTCAGAATTGCACAAAAAGCAAATTTAAACCTAATCTTCCATACCCTTCAAAACTACAGGTCAACAGGGGTCAAATTTGAGGCAGTTACGGTGATGACATATTATGTGGACCGGATCAGATCGATGAGTTGATGAGCAGTGCGTAGTTAATTCAAAGTCATTTTGAATATGCGTACTCCACACAAGATGATGACATCAAGTAGATACGGGTAGCTAGTTTTTAGGTCGACAACCTCCGATTTTTAGAAGCTTTAGATTTAGAGTTTACAGAGAGCTGTTACTCCTCTGACAGACAAAATTGCAATTAATTGACATTGCAATCCATGGCTATGTGATTTCTGTCGGTACATATTCATCTTTCATTTTGGACAGCGTCTTTATGTTAATACCCTCCTAGCTCCAAAACAGATGACATACTCCCAAGCAATGTGTCAGTCCAGAGCCCTGTTTCACAAAACTTGTTATCAATCAAAAGTTACAATAACTGTTATAAGCTGACGAAATCGTGGCATTTGATTGGCTGAGAGCAAATTTGTCATAGACATTTACCATTTGTTGTTGATAATAAGTTTTATGAAGCAGGGCCTAGGTTTGAAGCTATGGTGAATAGAGAGTTAAACCCATCTACCACTGAATTAGAATATTCCTATTAGAAAAATACAGGAACCAACTATTCCTGTAGGCCATGGATAATGGTTAAAACAAATTCCTTATGTTTCATATCAACATCATATTCATAAACCACCATCAAAATATACATAAATATTAGTATAATATACTCAAGCAATAAGCTGCTGTTTCATACCCTTTTAAACCATATACCATACATACACAACAGACTAAATGCATTATTGCACAAACAAGAACAAGAAAAATATATCAATAAATATAAATAAAATGTTATATGAAGTTAATGAAAGATTGCTTCTAAACCAAAGAGCTGGAGTCGATTGCAGTTTGGAAATTACACTATTCCTCAATTTGAAAATTGTTACTTTGGGTGCAATTTGGTATTAAGGAAATAAAATTGTATATGGATTAAGAAAACAGATTTTGCTTCTTTGTGTACCTCATATATTACCCCTTAAAACATGTACCACATCGTACCGATACGACACTGAAGAATGGAAATATACACATGTAAAAGAAGATACCAACATTTAGCACCAATATATTGAGTTCTTGTTGCTACAGAGGTGTGAAAATATTATGAATGAAATAAATATAAAAGCCTGGAGCAAAATCCAGGGATAGTCAGGTCTGAGTATTTACTGTGTCACACCGGTGGAAAGGGCATGATCATATATATGATTCCCCCTCCCCCCAAAAAAAAAAATGGATTAAAGTGATTCATACAATCCAAATGATACATGTACATAATACTAAATAAAAACATGACAAATATAAAAAGTGAAAAACTATAAATTATACATCTGTATATAAACAAAAGAATGTGTAATGCACATGCTTGGAGGACACTATTAAGCACAAAATATGAAATTTGATCAAAAACATTGTAAAAAATGGTTGCAGTTGTCAACAAAAAATGGAAGAATATTATATACTTGGTCAAGAACACGCTAACATTATCATGTGAGAAATTCAGAAGAGATTTATAGAATGCATTATTTGACATGAAGACACATTACTGTTTGATCAAACATTTAAAGACCATCATGAAGAGTGGCTCAAAAGAAGAAGAAAAAAAATGAGAAAAAGAAGAAGAAAAAAATGAGAAAAAGGAAATGATAGCTTTAACTTGCATCAAGCAATTGTTCTGGAACTGTGTAAGATATCTAAAGTGTCAGGATGCGCCAATGTCATCAATACACTCGGAGCAACATGCACTACATGTATGTTTTTTTAAAGTGTGTGTTTAAATATTTTTTAGGAAAAACAGGATGATAAAGCAATAAATGTACAGTTAGGCCCGAAAGTTGACATACTTCCGGAAGAAAATCATTTTACTCAGTTTTCACAACTGCACTCATTCCTACTCAGGAGTCACTTATATAAATGACTTGATTAGTGATGTATATCCTAAATACACTAAACACAGATCAAACTTATCTATCTTCTTGAAGTGAAAAGTTGGCAGGAACGAATGAAAACGGGATAATGTATTGCGCTTTTCTACCAGGTGTATGTTACCTTTTGGGCATAACTTTGCGTGTATATAGATTGCAGTATCATAATATGAACAAAGTCATGTATGTGTACACTGTGTAACACATTATCTGACGCTTGATGAAAATATGACCTAAACTTTGGTTTGACTACCTACGTAATTCAGAGGATGCAAGGACATTCATCCAAGCAAGAACTCCATCGTCTATTATACACCCAGGTAAAGAGAGTCAAACTGTTGATAAATACCTCTAATAAAGCAGTTACAAGCTAAGTCACCGATATTCTGCATGTAGAAAACATTTTGATATTCAAACGAGGATGTGTGATGAAAATAATTTTCAGTTATTAAAACTTTGTCTCGTAAGAAATAAATAACGAGCACGCCGGGCACCCCTGTAAACACATTCTATGAAAATCCTTAGATATTTTAACTCTTTGTCCGCTTCGGTTGAAGAATGGGACAAACAAGTATCACACATACATGTACAATGGCCAATGGGTATGTGACATATACTCAAAACAATCAGCATGTCTACGGTACCCGACTGTGGAAAATAAAGAGTTTATCAGGATATGGGGCAGAAATACTTGACAAAAACATTGTCATTGGATATATCCCTGTAATGCTGAATTTATCCCTGAAGAAGAATTACCATGAATTAAACAGATATATATTAAAACATTCACCTGTTTCTGTATATGTAGATTATAGTATAGCAGATATATGTATACCTTTTTGACATCTCTTTCTTTCAATAAATAGAATGCACTAGTGCATATTACACAATGACTACACCGACAAGCGGCATGAAAGACAAAGTTTATATACGAGCAACTTCCTTAGGCAGAGTTGCAACAGGAGTATATGCGAATTGAAGAGTAGTTTTATATAAAACAAGATAACGATACTGGATAAGAAGTGCATTGAGAATACCTGTTAAATGGCAGAATCTACGTGTATATTATGGGTGAGCATACCAGAAATATTTTCTGTTAAAATGCATGTTTATTTATAATAGCTATCAATTATAGTAATAGTATATTTCAAAGGGTTGTTGACAACATTGCTTAGTCTTCCATTAAAACAAAAATTCCTCCCTCTCATTCCATACAAAAAAGAACTTATGAAAATCATGTATATATCAAGTATAAGATCAAAGAGTCCCCTAACAATACTCATTCAGATTCTAAAGCAGCTATTGTTGATCTGTACCCAACGTTCCTGCTTCAACAGACAAAATAGGCACCATATATGCTATGAGTTGTAATGATAAATTACTGTTTCGTTTCAACTACATATTGAATATTTGTACTCTGGTGTATGTTTGGAAGAAAAAAATGTCAATGTTTGAAACAAATTCCTAAAACACTGAGAGGAAAAAAAGAATACTTATAATTGTAGATATACAAACAAATATTTCCATTAGTTCTATTCGCTTGGCAAGGTTTACTACTTTATGCTTAACATGACACCTGATATGCATGTACTGTATCATTATTATAGCAAGAGAAATGAGATGTGGTTTTTAACATTTACTTATGGTCAGTAGCAGTAATAGTCACATCATGTACGTACATGCATGGATGAGTTCCCATAGTTAGTCTTTAGTCACAACACAAGTAATGCAAGGATTCATATAAAAATGGCTGCGACAATCTCAAGGAAATGGGCGAGTATAAAAAGGATGGAGAGGGATGCCGCCACGGTAACAGATATCAGCCGTCTCATCTGGAAGCCACTGTGCCACTGGAGTGATTGGAGCCTGACCCTGACTGTCTTCCTTCTTCCAAGGCCCTCGGGTCAGGAACAAACTTATAGAGGGGTGAACCCTGCATCAGCACCCTCAACACATCCTCGCGCCCCAAGTCTTTGACTTTGTTCAAGAGCACCCCAACAGAGTTCGTCTCTTCCTTCCCCCACTCTTGGAGCAGGCGCTCCGTCGGGGAGTCTGACTCGTCAGGACCACACCTCCTGTTGAGGGTGTCCAACATGGGAATCTTCTCTGTGAGTCCCAGCCCTACGGCTAGCAGACACCAGTCCTTACCCATAGGGTCCGGGGGATCTAACAACATGCTGATCTGTCGTCTCGTCAACGACGGGATCTCCGAGAGGTGCAGGTCGACACCCGCAATGAGATTGGATTCCACTGACTCCGATCCAAAACAGAAAATGTCAACAAAATCCTCCTCCTGGTTGGAAATGGGGTTCTCGACTGTTCTTTCAGTCCTGAGTTGAAGTCTGAGCAAGGAGCAAGCATTGTACACCATGATGGTCTTCTCATGGGAAGACAGCTGGATTGGCGACAGCACCTCCATATTAAGCGGTAACCCTGGATACGAATCCACAAGAACGTGTTTGACAAGGTGGACAAGGTCTTCTAGGAAGATGAAGCATCCTTGTCTGGTGTCGTTATAGCCTCGGACCTTGATCTCGATGGCACATTCATCGTTCGTCATGGAAATTAACCCCTCAATGCTTCCGCTAGAGCACTTGGCTCCGTTCCTCCACATCACAAGCTCATTGTCTGTTGTGTCTTCCATGTCCTGCTGGAAGTTCCGCCTCAGTGACATCTGTATCCTGGAGAACAACCCCGAAGGCAAGGTGCTTCCGCAATCGCTCAACTGCATCCGGACCCCACCGTACACCCGGAAGTTTCCGTTCTCGTCCTCCTTCTCCCAGATGCCCTCTGGGGCGGGACAGCGCATGACCGCAGGGATCTCACACACAGTTCCGTGAACACAGATGTCCATCGCCTCCATGAGTTGGGAGATGTCCATGGCATCGGTGTCTGGGAAGAGAGATTGGATGTAGTGGATGCTGTATTGGCCTTCAGGTTGCTCTGTGGCATCGTGGCTCAGGAGTCTGCCAATGATTCCTGAACACAACCAGGTGGGTTCTATAACAATCACCTCCTGAAGGAGTTCACTGCCGAAACACTGAACCTGAAAAAGATGAAGAAACAAAATAACATTACCATGTCATACACACAGAACAACTTCATAATGTACTTGTGCTTCACGTGTTCAAACTTTTGCATAAATGCTTGTTTCATCGTTTAATTGGTCTTGCAACATATTCCATGAAAATAACTTCACATTACAGCTTAGCTCATTCTGAAAGGATGTAGCAATTTTTAGTCTCAACAAAATGTTCAGCACTCATATACCTGGGCAGTATTAGCCATCCATAAATTGCAATGGGGTGAAGAAACCCACAATAACTACTACTACAGATGGGGTAAGACCTCTCCTTTTTTATGAAGTTGTCTCCCTTCATCCGTGAGGAGTGCCTGAACCGCTCGACAGTTAACTCTTATCGTGCCATAATGAATACAGCCCAGAGCCACAGGGCTAATCCCCATTGTGCCAAGCCACAAATCCCCCCAGTACCTTGATTTACCTTGATGTTGGGCTTCAAGTATAATTACTTATATTGTGGTTGTATCTATAATAACTGCTATTACGAATGCGAGCAAACATGCATAAAGCAGCCAATCGATAGCTCGCTCGCGTGTACAAAGCACTATAACGGTAGCGTGCATGCTGCCTTATAGCAGGATATAATTTAATACCAACATGGGTAACTGCCTCCCACCAACTACCACCATCACCACTATTACTACTAATGGGGTAACACCACACTCACTTTCTCTCCCATTAGATGTAGTTGTCCCCCTACATCCCTCAGGTGTTCCTGTCCTTCTAAGTGGTTAATACTGGCGACATCCCCTGAACACAAATGCATGTACACCACCACTACTAATAAGGACAGACCACACCAACTACCAAAGGGGCACAGCCCCGCCGTCTTATCTCTCTCGTTAGATAAAGTTGACTCCCTACATACCTGAAGTACATGTACCGATATGCCTGACCCAAAGGGGGTTGATACAAACATGAATGCCCCTGTGACACCTCAACAACCACAACAAACAATACCTCCACCACCACCCCTACGAATGAGATCCAGCCATGTCTGCTTACCTCTCCCATCAGATGAAGTTGTCTGCCTACTTCCCTGAGGTGAGCCTGACCCGCGAGGGGGTTAATACTGGCGTGAATGCCTTCCGAGAACTGTTGCCATGTCAACACAGGGAAATTTACAAATGTTCTCCTCCAGGCTGGCAGTGCTGATGCGACCGCTTCGCAGAGGACAGACACTGGTGCTTCAACCTGACAAAGTATATAATAGAAGATAGATTAACACTTTTGTTGCTTTATTTGCCTATCTGTTCAGTCACCTGTTTGCTAGAAATTTCTATAACTTCTCATAAAGGAGAGTCTTCTGGAGAGGGATGTTACACTTTAACTGTCAGTAAACTGTACTGTTTATCATAGTTTCATATGGTTTATGAAATCAGCATATGGATTTACAAAAATGAAAGATATAGGAAAAACACCTGTCTAGAACGAGACCTGAACACTATGACATCAAACTGGTATTGAACAGAGGACCTCCGATTACAAGACCACTGCTCTACCACTGAGCCATTATGCCTCTACAGACTTAAAGCCACACTGCGCTACTTGTAGCTACTTGCTCCCTCTATATAGAAGACAATGCCTAAGCGGTGCCCGTTGGTCCCCCATGATCCTCTTTTTCTTATGTTAATTGAGAGCTGATTTGATGAGATAACCACCTGTCAGTGACCATACTGGGTGGCCTAATCCCTCCCGGCCAAACTTATACAGACAGGCTTTAACAATCTCACCTTGAGTATGGAGTTTCTCAAGCTTGAGATGTGAGTCCTGAGCATCTTGACGTCTTTGGACTGAGCGCTGTTGGCGTCCATCACAAAGAGGACGTCACAGATGTCGAAGAGCCTGCCAAACAGCCTCTTGGTCTGGTAGAGTACGATGTTCCCTTCCCCACTGATCAGCTCACCCGTGGGCTGTTTCGGGCACTGGGTGTGGTCAGCGTGCGTGGCCACTAGCGCTATCTTAGGCTGCTGACGATACTTGCCACAGTAGCCTATGGAAAAGTAGGATTGTATCAGATTTTATTGGAACAGTCAACTAATCTGTGAAGTTAATCACCTGTCATTATTCCACAACATTTCACCTTCCCAATGAGATCAAACATTTGTACTCATGTTAATTCAGCATATGTTGCCATTAACCCTTGGCTGCTGACGATTCTTGCCACATTACCCTGCGAAAAGAAGATTATTTCAAATCTTTTTGGAACCGGCGAACAATTAATCACTTGTCATATTACATAAACGTAAATATACATGTACATGTTTATGTGTTACACTTTTGCAAAAAGAACCAAAATACATGTACATTTGGAACTAGCACCAAAATATATGAAACTAATAAAGTCCCAATAATTTTGGAAAGCATCTACATGTAATACTAGCGTGTAATGATCAATTCCTGTGCATAAATTGCTCTGGTACAGAATCTTATTAATGGATTCTGAGGACAAATAGTAAAAAGTTCAGAAGAATCCTTACCAACTGGTTCAGTTGCTGGAAGCTGCGACCTAAGGAAGTTCATCCAGTACGTGACCTGGGCGAGCTGCTCCTCAAACATATCATCCAGGCTGAAGACTACGAGGTGAATAGCGCCCTCATCGGACAGGAAGTGAGGGTAGGCAGTGTGGTAGGTATCTTCACCCGAGAACTCCAGGAAAGTAAAATCCCCAGCACCTACATTGGAAAGAAAAAAATGTGTTAAGTTTGTTTCTTACCCTCGATTCACCTCAATTTCTGCCATTACATGTATGTTTATAAACATTTAAAGAATAACTGATTTGATGAGATTGTGTATATGTCATTTACAAAACTGTCTAATCATTAGAGAAGAATTGAAATTGTAGAGGAATATGCTGCTAAAATCAGGCTACATATACATGAATACTGGGTAAAGTTGTCATCAATTCTTAAATCAAAAACAAAGACTGAGATAAATCTGTCTAAATCATTTAGGCATCAATATCTGCGCGTAAACAAACCAACGTACACGTACATTATAAATACATAATTTAAGATCTGAAATAAATAAATGGTGTATCGGCTTTGCTGTCATAATATATACTTAAAATCTATAAATCTACTACAAACCTGGAATGGTTCCATGTGTGAACTCGATCCCTCTCGTGACCTCCGAATCCACATCGAAACTGGAAGACGTCGATGAAAGCTGCTTTCGCTTCAGGCTCTCCATGAAGAACCGTCCCCCGTCCATCTTCTTCCCATTCCCGAACATGGGGGTGAGGGGGCTCCGCGGACTCCTGGGGGAGCGGGGCGAGCTCCGCCCGTTGCTGCTGCTACCGATGAGGCTGATGTTGGATCGGGAGCGTCGGAAGAGGCCGCGGAAGTAACCGCACTTGAGGGAGTCGATGAGGGCGGTCTTGCCGACGCCCGACTGACCCAGAACCTTGATGCGGATGCGGTGGAGAGGTCCGGAGGTGCTGTTGAGCTGGTTGATGAAGAGGTCTTTGCTCTTATCCTGAAAATAAAGGAGAAACTTTCTCATTTAATGATTGTTACTAAGCATGTCTACAAACATGCACCGACTACATGTACATACATGTATTGATTGTATCAATGATCGGGGGGGGGGGGGGTGTTTCACAAAAATCCTAAGTTGAACTTATCTCTAAGTTGGACTTAACAATTATGGAAAGCCGTTAGCATCCTTGAAAATATTTTATAAAGTTATTTTAAAGGGCATAAAATGTTGAATCAAAAAATTTATATTTTCTATTATCATGGGAGATTTCATGTTCTTGATGTGGAATTTATGAAAAGTCTAAATTTCTAGATATTTTGTTTTTGATTATATTTCATTATAAGGCTAAAAATGGCTCTCCATAAAATTAAAGTCCAACTTAGAGTTAAGTTTGAGTTAGAAACTTTGTGAAACACCCCCTGGACCGTTAATTTTGCAATTTCTTTGACCATCAGACCTTGTGCTGATCTGTTCTTTCTTATATGTCTGCACTCTTGATGCATAGTCTGTGCAACTTTCCTAAAGCTATGTGTTTGACTCAGGAAGTTGGTGTACTAGACATTAGACTAGACTAGACTAGATATTAGACTAGACTAGACTAGATAGTATATTTCTGGAAATCTGCTCCTCTGGATGACTGGATCATTAGCATGTACATTTGCACTTTGAATACAAAGTCATGCATATAATCATTATTTGCTTCCTATTATATTTTAATATTATAATATTTTGTTTAATCCTCAACAACAAATTTTATTATCATACTTTGATTTAGTTTTGAGAATTTTTGTGTGTGTAACCCAATAATGTTTAATCAGGATTTTGATCAGGGTTTTATCAGGATTCTCTAAAAAGCAGTCATGCTGACTGGCCAACTATGAGATTTCACTGTGTTTTTCAATACGCAATAAATCAAACCTGCAGGTAAAGGACACACTTAAAATCCTGCTAAATTATTGAGTTGAATATCTTCAAGCATGTGTGCTGCTGAAATGATTAATAATAACAACAACAACAACACCACTAGGAAGAAGTAGAGAAAGATGAAGAAGGAGAGGAGGAGGAGGAGGAAGAGGAGAAGAAGAAAGCAAATTTGTGTTATTGGTCTGGCCTTACCCCTTCTACTTGTGTGAGAACATCAGCTACATCTTCATGACCTTCTAGACTGGCTAGCTGTGATGCAGTCAGTCCATCCTATAGAAAAAAATAAACCAATACAAGGTAGATATGAGAGGGAGCAAAAAGTTGACTTTACCTACATTTAAGAAAAGAAGACCTTCGTTGGATAGCTATTAAATTGATCTATTTCTTTTCACAGCATCAACGTGACTTGCTTCCGACGTTACTTGTGTTTTTGTATCATTGTTTTCATAATTTCTCCGCCTAAAGAAATGATAATCATAGTAAAAATAATTTATCTGGTATCCATGTGACTCACATCAAACTTTACTCTTGTTTTTGTATCACTGTCATCTTGATTTCTTTACCAAATAAAATAATAATAATAGCAAGAATACTTCATCTAAAAGCTTTCACTTGAGCTCACCTGGTTCCTTTGGTGAATTAGAGCACCCGCCAGACAGAGGTACCTTACGACCTCTATGTGACCTCCTCGTGCTGCCATGTGAAGTGCTGAGTTCTTATGCTGTGGAATGCAACACAGATAAAAATTACATATACTGCAATTACAATGTTATACACAAGAGAGGATTGGTACTACAAAAATCACAGAATAGCAACGAATACAGACACACAGTACTAAAGATTTTCGTTGAGCACTCTGTTTATTCTTGCAATTTACTTGGATGAGTTAAAAACGAAAATCTTTAGCAAGTCTGTATTAATTGCTATTCTGATGTTGTAATGGTAGAACTCATAAAATAATGATAAGCAACACGATCCATGAAGCTGTCTTTGATAAATTATAAGTTCTTTGACGATAATTAGAAGAAGTATGAATGTTGGTAGTCATGGTAGTGGTAGTAGTATTTAGATGAAGTAGTTGATGTTATGAAATATTTACAATTATGGTAGAAATTGAATGAATAGTTAGGATATTAAGTTGGTCACACAACACAAAGCTGAAATGAAAATATCAACATTTTAATTATGAGATTGATTATAATTCAAAGTGTAAAGCAATGAGGTTTAATACTCTGTCTTTTGATGGATCAAAATAACTGGATTTATAAAATTATGACAAACATCCACGTGTGTATTCCACTCAACATTTGCCCCATAACTCCCATCAATATCATCTTCACCTTGTCATCATCCTTCATCATTATAACCATCATTACTACCACCATAACCATTATCATCATCACCACTACCACTACATCATCCCATCATCCTAAACATCATCATCATCACCTTTATCGTCATCATCATCATCCTAAACATCATCATCATCATCATCATCATAATTATCATCATCATTATCATGTTTATCAAAATATTCCTCCTCCTTCTCCTTCTCCACCTCCTCCTTGAAATCATCATTACTTTGATTGCCATCATCATCACTATCATCCTCACAGTTATTAAAATCTTCCTCGTCCTCCTCCTCATTTTTTTCATCACTTTCATCATCACAGTTATTAAAATCTTCCTCCTCCTCCTCCTCATCTTTTTCATCACTAGTTTGATCATCATCATCATCACTATCATCATCATCATGTTTATCAAAATCTTCCTCCTCCTCCTCCTCCTCATCTTTTTCATCACTAGTTTGATCATCATCATCATCACTATCATCATCATCATGTTTATCAAAATCTTCCTCCTCCTCCTCCTCCTCATCTTTTTCATCACTAGTTTGATCATCATCATCATCACTATCATCATCATCATGTTTATCAAAATCTTCCTCCTCCTCCTCCTCCTCATCTTTTTCATCACTAGTTTGATCATCATCATCATCACTATCATCATCATCATGTTTATCAAAATCTTCCTCCTCCTCCTCCTCCTCATCTTTTTCATCACTAGTTTGATCATCATCACTATCATCATCATCATGTTTATCACTATCATCCTCCTCCTCCCCCTCCTTCTCTTCATCATCAGCATCATCCTAAACATCATCATCATCATCATCATCATCATCATCATCATCATCGTCATCATCATCATCATCATCATCATCGTCATCATCATCATCATCATCATCATCATCATCATCATCATCATCGTCATCATCATCATCATCAAAATCTTCCTCCTCCTCCTCCTCGATAAGATAAGAAGAGCAAACCTTGTAATTCTTACCCTGTTTAGGATGTCTCTCTTTGCACCCACAGCATGCAGCATTTCCACCAAGTCTAAAGCCCCTTCTTTACATGCAACATTTAATGGTGTATCACCAAGCTAAAATCACAAAAATAAAGAGTTAGCAAATTTAAAGCGTTAAGCTCAAACTGTTAGCAACATACATCATAATCAGTAGAGCTTTCACAAAACCCAAAAACGTCTCAATTCTTTTTATTCCGAGAACAATCAAATTTAACCTGAATGTCTGTTAGTTACAGAAGCCTGGTATTAATTGCATAATACAAATTAGAAATGGTTAGTAACAAAAAAGGTTCCAAAACACACAACAACAAAAAAACGGCTTTAAAAAAGTCACAATGATAATGATACATCTAATATTTAAACCAAGATGAAATATGGAAGAACTCAAGCCTTCAAATTCTTTTATTGTTAAAATTGTCAAAGTCTACCCTCATAATCAAGTACAATGCATGACTTAATGGAATGAAATGAATTAGAACACATTGGTCTGAAATGAAACGGTCATGAACACACCAAACTGGAAATCTGAAATAACTTAGCCCACAAGAGGGCAGTATGCAAAGATATCAAAGAATGAATGATGAGTGCTGACCGTCCTTTTCTAAGATGTCATTAAAAATCAAAATTGTTTAAAAAAAGAGAAAACAGATACATCACATCTGTCAGGTTCCCACTACATCCTTTTACCTTGTTGTGAAGATTCACGATCTAAAAGCAACATTTAGGAACTATAGCTTTGAGTCCTATCTGAGTGACTTGGTAATAGAACCTAATACCTTACCATGAAGCACCAGCTCGTCAACTTGATTTAAGCTGGGACCTCCCAGTAATTATGTCACTACTGCTTAACCACAAAGCCCTTTCAAAGAGTTCCAAATATGACTGCTTACTCATGATGACTTTGAGAATATTCTTCAACAAAATACACATACTTCAAAGTGGATTAAAAAGGAGAGGCAAATGCATTAAAGGTAAAGACCAGTTTTGGAAACACCCCCCTCTCAAAAAAAATGAAATGGAAGCTCTTATTACCAATTATGTGAAAGAATATGTTTTGACTAATACGTGATGATACAAATTTTACCAGGACACTGCCTACTAATTAATATACAGTGTGTATTTGGTAAATTATTATATCTATTTGGACCTGATAGATATCGCGCACATGTCGCGTAGTCGAATATACATTTTTCCGTGTACAGTGCTTGTAACTTTACCAAGACTGGGCCAAATTTCTTATCATTTTGATGATTCCAGAACCTTGCAGTACACACTAATATATATATATATATATATATATATATGCTAGATAATAAAGCTTTTCTGATCGATTCCACAACGTTTCTTTCACAATGCAGTGGCATGACCATAACTGGTCTTTATCTTTAATGTCAAACCCGTCATGTTCCCCACCACATCCCTTTCTTTACCTTATCTTGCAGATTGACATCACAGTTGGAGTCTACGAGGTACTTGACGATGTCATAGTGCTGCCTCCTGACGGCGTGATGGAGAGGGGTGATGCCGTGCTTGTCGATGGTGTTCAGAAGGGCGCCCGCTTCCACCAAGATCTTGACAATGTCCAGATGTCCCCTGGCTGCGGCGCAGAGCAAGGTCGTTTCACCATCCTGGAGGTGGACAAGGACGCAATGTTAATTTGTGTATTGAGATGTAAAACCAAGATATGCCATATGCATGTAGTACAAGGAAACTTGAATATCTACATGCATGATTAAAGCCCACTGCACGCTTCATGATCGTTCTGCGGAACTTGCAATTGTATTAGATAGGAAATTTAAAAAAACATCATATTCCTGATTGAGCTTCTTAATCATGATTAGAATACTAACAAACAGAGTTTTGGTGCATTGAACTCTTCTAGTCAACAATGAAAGCTGAATCGGCTTCAGGTCATAGACAATCGCACTACTGGGGGCGTTTCACAAAGAATAAGATACGACTTTAAGCTGGAATTAACTACGGCAGGCCTTACATGCCACTGTTTTTTTTCACCATTGGTCTCTCGATTATGATCTTAAGATAATATTTTGTCCTCCAATAATGAATTATCAACAAATGTAAATTTTGTTGAATTGTGACCACAATTTTTACAGCCCTTGAGAGACTAATGCCAGTTAGTGGTGAGAGAAAACAGTGGGATGAACAGCCTGCCATAGTTAAGTCCAACTTAAAGTCGATCTTAGTCTTTGTGAAACATATCACTACGATTCTGAGCCAATTAAACTTTCCCTCAATCTTAACAAAAACAAAGTAACATAAATCCAATTGTGACCCTGTCGCTGACCCTGTATCTTTGGTAAAAATCCTGAAACAATGAACATCTCTGCAAACACGCTCCTATTCATACCTTATTCTTCAGATCCAACGTTGCGCCCGCCTTGCACAGTGTCTGGACGATACTGGTGTAGCCGTGCCAGGCCGCTATGTGGAGGGGCGTTTCCCCGTCCTCATCCGCTAGATTCGAGTTGACGGCCTGGTCACACAGATACTGCACTGCTTCCACCTGCCCATACCGACCCGCAACGTGCAGGGGCGTCTCGCCAGTCTGAAATGTTTAACAGTAATGAAACAATTTTGTATAGATGATAACAAAATAACTAAATGTGGCTATAACATGCAGGGGTATTTTTTTGTTTTGTTCATTACTGCCTCTTTTTAGTACAGTAAAGTAACATTTCCTAAAGAGGGTAATTTATTTATGTTATCTAGAGTTGTTCCTATATTTTCCAGTTGTCTTTTTAAGCATTCTATTGGTTACGATTGTCTCAGTTTTGCCCATTGGATGCAGAAGACAACTTTAAAGGTAATTGAGAGGATTGATTTGGAAAGAATTAATGCATGAGAAAAAATACACTCAGTATTAACACTGATCTATGAAACATACAGTGTACCTGGATATTCACCTTGAAAGTGTGTTGGTTTTTCCATTTTTTTTCATACCTTTAGAGTGCTAATTTATGTAGTAATTATATTTTTTAAATGACATCCAATTTATGATTACACAGGATGCTTGCCTTATATCGTGAAAGATGTGATTCCAAAGTAAATGTACACAGTTACACATCGAGGGTTTAGCGACACAGAGACGTAACTCCATATTTTGCCAAAATGAGTATTTGATGTGAAAAATGTAGGCTTTCCAGGAAAAACAAAGACTTAACTCCACCCAACACCTCATTGAGGTCAATGGCTAGTGAAACATAGACATAGCCCAAGGGCTCAGTGACACATAAACCCCTTTTTTTCCTTCAAAATGGCCAAAATGGAGTTACGTCTTTGTGTCACTGACCCCTCGACATGTACGTGTATATTCCTGACATTAGATTAGTAACTCTATTCTGGCCTCACCTTGTTTTGTGCATCTAGAGGACATCTTTGGTCTTTGAGGAAGCTCATAGCAGCAATCTGGCCCTGCCTAGCCGCCCAGTATACCCCGTTATCGCCATGCTGTAAAAGGAAATAAAAGGGGACAAAAGTTGCTTGTTAATAAAGGAAGATGGTACTGAGGTATTGAATGTTTTGCCCCCTGAATGGCAGTTAGGAAATTATCAGGAAATCAATATTGTCATCATCTTTTAAGAAGCTAAAATTTACTGCAATAAATAATGGATGCTAAGCAGATGCACAGCTAGTATGCACACATGTACTTCATTGCTGCTTCTTGTAAAGGCCATCATTAAGGATTCAAAAACATTAAAAGGATATAACTTTACTGGAGCCTTAGTTTCAGATGCTTAGGAGTATCTACATCTCCATGTATTATCTAATTTCATATGATTACATTCTCTTTTCCTCTCTCTCCCCCTCTCTCTCTTACATCTGATATCTCAATCATCAACTCCCTATACCCCATCATTCCTTACTGACTTCCTCTCTCTCTCTCTTATTCTTTCGGCTGCAATCTATATTGCTCATCAGCTCTCTACCTCAATCCGTCTCTTCCTCCCTCTGTCTGTCTATCTGTCTGTCTGTCTGTCTCTCCCTGACTCCACCACCCTCTCTCTCTCTCTCTCTCATCATTCTACTGTACGTCTCCCCATTCTCACTCTTTCCCTCTCACTCACTCTCCATCTCTCTTCTTTTATATCTCTCTCAATCTTTCTATAGCTCTCTCTATCTCTCTCTACTTCTCTATCTCTCTACATCTCCATCTCTTTCCATCTCTCTCACTCTTTCACTCTCACTCACTCTCCGTCTCTCGCAATTATCTCTCTATAGTTATCTCTCTCCCTCTCTTTCGCATATCTCTCTGCATCTGCATCTCTTTCTATCTCTATATCCATTATCCACCTCTCCCCCCCCCCTTTATCTCCATGTCTATCAACTTATCTACCTTTCTCTGTCTATACACCTCTCTCTCCCTCTCTATCTCACTCGATCCCTCTGTCTCTCCCTCTTTCTTCCCCTCTCTTTCTCCACCATCCTTCATCCAGGGATTCTCAATACCATCTTCTGAGAATCCGCATCGGATGTTGGATAGGAGATGACATTTTAATGCATGTCTCCTCTTCATTAAGTCCATACCCCACTGTGCATAGAATTCATTTCACGAGTCAATGGCATTTAAAAACATCTGTTGCTGTATAATATGGATGGATCGATCTACAGGCCTCATTAAAGGTTGCTCCTTTCTCAAATATGTCTGCTATTCCTTTTATCAATGCTTGTAGTACACTGAAAAGGATAGTTAATGTTCACCCATAGATTCCCTACATCTTACAGTCTCAATTAGCACCCCTCCCCCCCCCCCAAAAAAAAGAGTTAAATATAGAAATGTACTAGTATGAAAAAAATTTAAAAACCTAATGGAAATTGAGGTTTTAAAATATGTCTACAATATCAAATAGGCCCGTTATTCAGAATCATACATATCAAAGTACAAGTTTTATTTGCCAGTATCACAAATGATAAAGCCTTTGGCATTCTCATTTCTGGACGCATCTTTTTGAGCCACTACATTTCACTATAAGCTCATGTACCTAAGGTTCAATATGAGATATAGTTTCCCTAAATCTAACACATCTTGTAAAATTCATTTTTCAGTTCTTCACACGGTATGTGACAGAGACAATGTGCAATCATGGATACTACTGACAGTATCCACGGTTTAACTCTGGCAATACTATATGAAGACATGCATGTACCACAAGTTTTTATATGTGATTTCATTTAACCCATTGCCAACTGAATGTTCTCATTCCCATAGACTTAACACAGAGACCAACAGGTTCCTGCAGAAAATGGGTTAATATGCTTCTCAAATCAAGGAATATAGGACACACCCAAGTAAGTGATATTCACCCTTTTCAACTCAAGTCAAATAATAAAACTTTCCCAATATACCCAAGGAAACTTATACAAACCTATGACACATAGTAAGGACCCTTGGAGAGGAAATATCAAGTGTTGGGTGTTTGTGAAGTGTGATACCCTTTACCATGACTCTAATTAAATCAAAGCTCTTGTGAAGATTGCTTATGAAACACTTTAAAGGTCCTTCATACAAGCATAGCCCAGGGTTTCACTTCCCTCTCAAACTTTCAGGAATTTTAAGGCTATGGTCTTAACATCAAATACATGTTATTATTTGGTCTTAATATTTTTTAGATGTACAGAAAACATTTTCTTGAAATACATAAACTACATGTGGACTAAAACTGTGTACTGGTAATACTTTTCAATTTAAAATAAAAATGAAGAATCAGAGCCTTAAACCGCTTTTACTTCTTTTTTCTCATCCATTTCCTGAATCTAATAGCATTTAAGAAAGTATGATATATATTTCATCTAAATCATCTCCTAATATAGTGTGAAAATCCCTCCACTGAGAGTTGATAATCAATTTTGTCTTTTCCCCATCACAGTTAATGAGTCCTCAAAACGAACTGTCAGTGAAGAATCTTTCTTCCCCCCCCCCCCTCCCCCCGAGTCCTAAAATGTACACCTCTCTCTACTTTGAGGTTTACCGGAGCATGCACAATTCCTCTCCATCATTTACTGCAAATTCCTTCAGAGGATACAATCTCAAGCTAGACTTGACAGTTTTGAATCTATTTGTTTTCAAGTTGGTTTACCCCATTTCAAACCAAACTCAAATCTACAGTCAAGTATTCAATTGACTGAAATTAAAATATACCTGATATCTCAATTTCAATTTATAAGAAAATACATTAAATAAAAAAAATGATCCGACATTATTAATTTCTTTGACAGTACTGTCAAACCTTGTTCAGACAGTCTGTTAAATCCACAAACAGCACAGTTTCAAAATTACTATTTTTTTACTGGTTTAAATGCCACAAACACTTGTGTTTTTCTCATTGTTGTGCTAGCAAAGAAAATTGCAGAGTAGAATTATAGATCATATAGATCACATACTAGCACTAGCAAGTATATATGTATCTTTCCATCTAGAGCTTGAATGCATATATGCAGCAAAGCATTATGAGATGGGCTTTTTTTAACCACATGTAATGAGGAAAATTCCTGGCCGACAATATTCGAAGAGAAAGTGTCAATTTTATACATTTGCTGGAGGTAATGCTATACAGCTGAACAGCTTTAGATTTAGAAGGAGCAGAGCTTTCTGGAAAACACATGCTGCGCTCGCATGGAGCAAAGTGCTACAACCCATTGCCTTCAGGATTTGCATGAGTCGTAGTGTGGAACCATGCAGAGAAAGCATGCAGACTATGTCTTAATTGACCCAAACCAGTCTACGGCAGGAACTTAAGTTGGATTCAAACATTATGGAGAGCCATTTGTAGCCTTCAAATAAAATATTTTCAAAAGCAAAAATTCAAGTACTTTAGACTTTTCATAAATTCCACGTCAAGAACATGAAATCTCCTTGATAATAGAAAATATGAATGATTTGAATCAACATTTTGTGAGTTTTATAATTAAAATAACTTTTACAAAATATTTTCAAAGATGCTAACGGCTTTCCATGATTGTCCAACTTAGCATCTTTGTGAAACACCCCCCTGCAGTTACAGATGAAGATGTACTCTTGTGAGATACTAACAGCTTGAAAAGACAATGTACTACATTGCCGTTCAATGAAACCTTTAAGCCTTTCATGATCGACAACCACTTACAAGATTTCTTTTGAGGTTAATAGACATGAATCTTTGACTACTTCTTCCAGTTCCGGCCAATTTACCTTGTCCGATTAAACTATTTCTTCAGGGTCGATAGATAGACAATGTAAATGACGCTACCTTTAGAGCAACCTCCATCTTCAGTCATCTAGGCATGTCTCCACTCCTTCCTACATGATGCATCTTTTTAGCTTTAAGTCACAATCTAATTAGCATCTAAATGGAAACGACTTGAAGGAGATATACAGCTTTGAGCTAGCCTCCGCACAGTTGGTTAAAGTAGGCCTTCCATTGTATAAAAATGCCTGCCTGAGCTTGCCCTGCATGGGAACACTCTTTGACTAGAGTTTCCTAGCTAATGTCTTACGTCACATATGGATTGTCGAGCGAGTCTGAGTCTGAGGTTGCGGTGGCGACAGTGATTGCAATTTATTGCCTGGTTGGTTTTATGCAAAACCACAATCAGTAATTCTCACTTAGAACTATCAATTCAATCAAGATTCTTTGAATATTAATTTTCAAACCACAATTCTTGTGATTTTTCACTTAGAATACAGTCAACTGTAAAAGTTGTGTAAAGGTTATATGTACATCTTCTTCTATTCATGTTATTGTCATTCAACATCACAAAGAGCAGAAAGCAATTTGCTACAAGTGGCTTGTCTAATTAAGTCTGGTGTTGGTTCATCCTGGCAGTCCCTCTATAAGCCCAAGCTAAGACAAATGGTGTCAGGACTGGGATTTTGCAGTGATTTTCTATGTACTTACTGACTAAAAGACAAGTACCTTCATGAATCTTAAAATGGCAATACTATATGTCTCTTTAGGTCTGTTTAGGTATGCTTTTATTTTCTCTCTTAACTTAACAGGCTCCTCTGACTCAGTAAAGGGCCTACTGAGATGGAAAAAAAATGACAATTCTATAGGCCTCTCTCTCTTTGGTATATGCTTTTATTTTCTCTATTAACTTAACAGGCCCCTCTGACTCTGTAAAGGGCCTTCTGAGATGGAAATATAGTCCTGTTACATCGGCTGTCATTCCAAATTGTTATTTGTTTCTAAGTGTCACTGTTGGTTTCCTGCTCGATCCATCTCAATCCATGCTATAATACTCCCTGGCTTCTTCTGAAGCTCCCCCTTTCTATTCCATTCCACATGTAGGTACATTTACATATCAAATAAACATTGAACTCCTCCTTTATAGCTTGCTAGAGTTAAAGAGGGTTTTTTTTTGGGGGGGGGGGGAGGCTAGAAAATAGACTCAACTCCTTGTTCACTATAGTCCACTTATGGAACAAGCAACAGACTGTCAAAGCCAACATTTGTCACGATGTTTATGGAAATATATTTGTACTCGAAACAATTTGTTGGACTAGCGTTTTAGTCTACAACACATAAAGGATTACAAAAATTATAATTCTTGACAGAACATTTCGTCCCTATTTTCACGAAGTGACGGTAGTGAGGAAAATCGTAACGCAAAGTGAATGCGATTTTTATTCACTATCGTCACTTCATGAAAATAGGGACGATTTGAAGAAAATATAGAACATTATAGAAAGAAATTACTTTTAATATTCTTTGGATTTAATCTACAGCATCTGATAGCTTCTCTTCACACCTTCAAGCTATACCTGGCCTTTTTTAAATCAGGTAATTTTCCCCTGGTAATTTGAAATGATTAGTCGGGTCAGGTGTGAATGTGCCTATAACAGCCAGCCAGGGCAAATTAGCCCTATTCACACAGCAAACAGTAAACTACCCCAAAATACCAGATCAGTAAAGTAAATGGCTGTGGCCTATATGCTCTTCATATTCTGTATCTGACAACACGAGATAGATGACCTTTAGGGGTCCTTTGTTGCATTCAATTACTTTTCATCTTTAGTTTCTACATTAATTTACAAATAAAGTCTATTTTGCTGCAGCCTTTTTGTTGTTGAAGTATAGTTTAACCTGCCACGTGTGAATGAGACCTACAGAAGATCACAAGGTCCGCGGTTCGAGTCCCCCCGCGGCACTAATCTCCTTTGGCAAGACATTGATCTACATTTGCCACACTCAACCCAGGTGATGTAGATGGGTACCTGGCAGGAAATAATTCCTTGAAAATGCTAGAGTGCCGTAATGGCAGCCGAGCTAAAGCCAGGGTAATAATTGGGAGCGCCAGGAGTGTCAAGTCTGACAGACATGAGCGCTACACAAGAACCCACTATTATATAAAAGTAGTGGTATTGTATCTTACCTTATCGGCCACATCAATGCTTGCTCCTTTGGCTTGGAGGTACTCGAGGATGTCAACATGACCGTAGCCTGCTGCAAGGTGGAGTGCGGTTTCTCCATGCTGCAGACAATAAACAAACGGATAGACAAGAAGATCATTAGATTGTTTAATGAAGATAGGGACATAATGATATGCAGTCAAACATGTCTACGACCGCCCAAGGGAAACAAAAAATGTGCTTGTTGTAGACAGGTGGTCACTAAAGCAGGTTTGATTGTAATAAGTGATCTCTACAGGACTTTAGCCTACAGCTGCGGGATGGAGTGTTAGCTATTTCTCCATGTTGCAGACATAAATGAAATGATGGACAAAAAAGAATTTTGAAAAGTTTTATCAATGAAGACAGAGATATTTGATGATGTTAAAGTGTTTGTAGCCTGCTGCATAATGAAGATCCGATTTCTCCATCCTTTAAGAGAAGGTTAAGTTCTGGGAAGATGTGAAAAATAACTTGTGAGCGTTATCATTTTTATTATGCAAAGGTAGAAGAAAATCAGATAAAACATGTTCCCTAAAGCATGGCAAAAATATGGCATGTAACATCGTAGATATCGGGACAGATTTTTACGCCACGTGTTCGTGTAGTCCCATCCTTCTGTGTACAGTGCTCGTAACTTTACCAAGACTTGGTCAAATTTCTTATCATTGTGATGATTCCAGAGCCTTGCAATACACACGAATACTTATATGCTAGATGATCAACCTTTTCTGGTCGATTCCACACCGTTTCTTTCACAATGCAATCGCATGACCAGAACTCAACTTCATCTTTAAGTTAACCCACTGCCTACTCGAACCGGGTGGCTCCTGTATTAAGCCTATGTGAATGGGAGAATTCAGTAGTCAACAGGTTAATAAGACACAACTGACAGACAAAAAAGGTTGAAATTGCAACGCCACAGAGACCTAGATGTTGACAGAGATGTACAAAACAGACATCAAGGGAGAGATTGATATAGGCTGGCAAAGGACAGAGGTAAACATAACAGACAAAGTAGGCAAGATAAAAGACAGAGATATAGTAAGAAAGTGAGATAGCTATATGGAGAGAGAGAGGGAGGGAGAGAGAGGGAGAGAGAGGGAGAGAGAGGGAGAGAGAGAGAGAGAGAGAGAGAGAGAGAGGAAGAAAGAGATGAACAAAACAAGGATAGGAAGACAGACTGGGAAAGCATATAAAAAAAAAAGGGGAATAGCCATTATTATCGTATAGAGCAAAATTGAAAAAATGAAAGCCCTAATTAAATATCTCCATGTACGATCAATTCTATTCTGTCTGATTAAAGACATAGCTGTGAAATTCAAATGTAAGCAACATTTGAGAATAGAGCGTCATTAATTATATTGGAGACATTATCCTGATAAAAGGTGAATAAATTTCCCACACAACACTCTATACAATAATTATTTAGATCAATAATTTAATCATATCAGACCGACAAAAACAAGGACTTTGATCTTCACTTTCAGTTACTCCCTGGCATATCAGTGAGTTTAAGCATTACAAAAACTATTTTTGTTTACATTAATCAATTGTTTTGCAGTATATAATTGATATTCGAATAATACTATTTCTGTCTCTCCTTAGAAAATATGTGATCCATTCCCAGACAATACCATAACAAAATCTTAACAAAGCGGGGGAAAGATACATTGTTGATAAGATCAACTGCCTGAGATAACAGCCACAGAATATTCCTCCCAAAATCAGATAAAATACAAGAGAAGAAATTGTCAACAACAAAAAAAAAACGTAGAGGTTTTACCCTAATTATTCATATTCTAGGCCCACAAAAAATATATTCAATTTACTGTTTACTTTTATTTCATCCCCTGGGATTTGATCAGATTAATGAATTGCTTCTGGCATGCATTTGCAATTCATGAGAACCCACATACTATGTATCCTCAACGTAATGCTTGATCTACTTTTCCACATAATTATAAACCAGATCTTTATCAAACATTTTGCCACTGAATAATTTGATATCTTATTAAAAGAAGAAAATAAGTCCACCTTAAAAAGAAACATGCAAAACACACCAGATGTCCTTACGTGTCCTAGCTTATACAATATGTGTATATATATATATGTACCATGAACTCTGCACAAAATGTGTGTTTCTGTGAACAGCCTTAAAAAGCTTTTTTTTTCCCATGACAATTGAGATACATTTAAAGTGCACTTTGTTAAAATACCCCAAAAAGGGGAAAAGAGATACACACAACAGAAAAAAAGAAAAGAATGGGGGACGGAAAAGGATGGGGAAAAAGGGGAAAAACACCTGTATCCCAATCAGTGGCCTTTTTAATTGCCATATTGATTGAGAATTGAGATATGCCTCCCCCCACCCCCTTACACCACACACCAAACACACCCTAGTAATACCTGGGGCCCCTTCCTTCAATAGTTGCAATAACTGCAGTATGGTGATATAAGCCATCATACACAAAGGAGATTCAATATCAATTTCAATTTTCTCTTCCAGCCACTTAACTTGATACATGTAATCCACTCAGGTAATCAATGTTCACCTAATCAGAATGGATAGATCATAGCTAAAGCAAGGTCTCTAGAAGCTTAAAGCCCCACTGCACTAGTTTGGTCAGGAGGGATTACACCTCCCTGCAAGGTCACTGACAGATGGTTATCTCATTAAATCAGCTCTCAATTAACATAAGAAACAGGGGATCATGGGGGACCAATGCAAGGTCACCGATTATTTTTTGCTATATAGAGGCCGGCGCAAGTAGCTATAAGTAGTGCAGCGGGGCTTAAAGAGGAGACTGAATTCTGGCAAAGTTGGAAATAATTGAGTTTTCTCATTTGTTTTCTTTTTTCCTGTTTTGCGGTTAACGTCATAACAGAAATGTCCCTAGAAAAAACACTCTACAAACACCCTCATACTTAAAATATGTCAAGAAATATTAGAGAAGTTTGTTTAGAAGTTCATGCTACAAATGTGATGTCCAATATATCATTTTTTGTGTGAAATGCAAATTTAGCAAGTGATTCCAAAACCTTACATTACACAATTATTCTACATAAGCAACTTTCTAAATAACCTTTTAGACACTTTCTCTCACAGTGCTCAACTTCTCTTTGAAGCTTATCTGCCATAGTTTACAGGAGGATTAGACCGCCCTGCAAGGTCACTGGACAGGTGGTTATCTCATCAACTCAGCTCTCAGTTAACATAAGTAAAAGAGCATCATGGTGGACCAATGGTCACCGATTAGGCATTGTTTGTTATATAGAGGGCGCAATTAGTAGCTACAAGTAGTGCAGTGGGCCTTTAAAGTAAAACCTCATCATGGTAAAAGCAGAGAGGACACAATTCAGACAGGTTTCCCTGTCATCGATGTTTGATTATTCCATCTCAGCCAGCTTGTTGCTCATAATGTTCATACAATAATAATGATAGAGGGTCCTTGTATAGCACTCACGTCTGTCAGACTTGGCATCCCTGGTGCTCCATCATTTTTACCCTAGCTCTATCATGATTATATCATGTCCTCTCTCTTTCATTTAACAATATTGGAAAAAATGCTCATAAATAGCACCTGCTTATTACATGGAAAATAGTGCATCAAAATCACCTCTTTTTTGGGGGGGGGGGTTTAATGTTTTGTTTTAGTCTTTTTTTATTCTTCTTCTTTTCCTTCAATTCCAATTAAAACTATGTTAAGCAGTGCATATACTTTGTTAAGTGAAGACATTGTACATTGTATGTGTAAGTCTCTGTACGTCTCACATTGTGAAACATACTCGGGAGCACCAGGAGTGTCAAGCTCATGAGTGCTATACAAGAACCCAATATTATTCGACTAAATCCTCGCTATGATTAAGTTGTACCATCTATAACAGTAATGTTTTCTTTGGCTACAGTTTTCAAAGAGTCCCAAAACATGAAAACAGTGTGAGAACACCGTGTTCAAAGAAATGTTCACAGTATATACTGAAGCGTTTCAATTTCTCTCCATCAGTGTTGTAGAAAGTAGAAACATGTACTTCATAGCAGCATCTTCTTCATGACTGAGTGGACATGACATTAAAGGAAAACCTGTGACTCTCTTGGGACAAAGCTTTCACCTTTCACCATATCTCACTTTCAAGACTCCTGAAAGAAAAAGATATCCGGCGCTTACGATACAAATCTTCTGTGACAAAATGAACTCTTTGAAGTTGAATGCGGCTGTGGGAATGGGATACCCATAAATTGAATTCCAGTTGGACCCCAAAAGTCGTGAACTCTCCTCACTTTCAGGTTTGAGGAAGATGATAAATTTTCACTCGAAGCCAAGCACACTTGATCAAAATGTCAACTTTAAGAGCATATGGGGAATAAATGTATTAAACCTCCCCCCCCCCCCCCAAAAAAAAAAAGCAAGGAGAGAGATCATGGAGAGTAAAAAGGACAAAGGGGAGGGAGAAAAAGAGAGAGGGTGAAAAAGAGAGAGAGAGAGACAGACAGAGAGAGGGAGAGAGAGAGAAAGAAAATGAGAGTGAGTTGCGACAGCCATGGGGGTGCCCCCCATCCAATATTTCCCTTTGTTATTAGCATTTGTTTATTATTTAATTTTCATGAATAGCATTATCCTCATTCCATATTATGAATAGCGACCTTCATTCTGTTTGATGAATAGCGACCTCCGTTTTGTTTTATGAATAGTGACCCTCTTCTCATATTATGAATGGCGACCCTCTTCTCGTATTATGAATAGCGACCCTCTTCTTGTATTATGAATAGCGACCCTCTTCTTGTATTATGAATAGCGAACCTCATTTTGTTTTATGAATAGCGACCCTCTCCTGTATTATAGATAGCGACCCTCTTATCCTATTATGAATAGCAACCCTCTTCTCCTATTATGAATAGCGACCCTTTTCTCATATTATGAATGGCGACCCTCTTCTCGTATTAAGAATAGCGACCCTCTTCTTGTATTATGAATAGCGACCCTCTTATCCTATTATGAATAGCAACCCTCTTCTCCTATTATGAATAGCGACCCTTTTCTCATATTATGAATGGCGACCCTCTTCTCGTATTAAGAATAGCGACCCTCTTCTTGTATTATGAATAGCGATCCTCTTCTTGTATTATGAAGAGTGACCCTCTTCTTCTATTATGAATAGCGACCCTCTTCTTGTATTATGAATAGCAACCCTCTTCTTGTAACATGAATAGCGACCCTCTTCTTGTATTATGAATAGCGACCCTCTTCTTCGATTATGAAGAGCAGTCCCTATGAATAGCAGTCATTACGAATAGCGGTCCTTATGAATAGCGAGGTTACCCCTCCTTAATCCCTTATCTCTTCCCGTCCTTTCACCCCCTCCTTCCACCCTCTTCCTGCCTCTCCCTCCCTTGTTCCTTCACTGAATGTCATTCAGCCTATGGGCTACAAGGTTCAGTATTTCAATAAACCATACAATCACCCCCTTTTCTCCCTTCCATTCCCCATTTCTAAAACACCCTCTCCTTCTCTTCACTTCCCCTTCACTTTCTACCCACCCCACCCCCTCTACATACCATTCACTCCATCCCTCTACCCCTACCCCTACCCCTCACCCTCCCCCGCCCCCCCCCCCCCTCCTTCCCAGCTCTATGTCAGCTGAGGGTCTGTTTTTCCAGGTTCACTTCCCAGTCACAGTGCAGAGCCTTACTCATCTTCCTGAGTGCTAGCTGTTCTCGCCTGTGCCCCATCGCTGATTCACTCCCGACATTACCATGCAACTTGTGTTAACAAGTGTCTAATTTCATTATCCATAGCAATGCCAGGCATACATGTACACAAGGACTAGGGGGCACAATTCAATAGCCAGGGTCTTACTCAATTGTGATTCTATAGCCAAGAAAAACGTAGGCTACCCCATACTTCTAAAATTGGACTGCTTTCAAAATGCTGTATTCAGCACATCATCTTCATTTTTTTTTAATTCTTGAAATGCGCTGTGTGCTGATAATGGTTGCCTGAGCGAAGGACTGGATATTGATTTTCAATACTCTTTGAAAGTGCATGATATATCAGCTGCATAGTAATGTGATATGCAGTAAACAAGAACATAAAATGCTTTGGGAATGTAGGAACTCACTTGCACTAATCCTTATGCATTTTAATGTTGCATGGCTTTTTATTTCTGAAATATAAGAATCAGGCAAACGTGCTAGCTCACAACATTTAACATGCTTTGAGATGTAACTGTAATTGATGGCACTGAAAGAATTGTCTTTGTATAAAATATTAACTCAAATGACACTCTTATAATACTCATTATATGCTTCCTATTTATTAAGTCAATATATTGAATGAATTGTTAATGTTTAGCTCCTCTTATTCCATCTATAGCTAGGAATATCCATAACTCCTCAGTCCTCACTATGTTGTACAATCAGTTAATTTCTTTGTTTTGTTATATAACAATATATGTACTTTTAATGCCCTGCATTTTCCAGTAAAATGGAAATGTCCTGGGCTATTGTATCTTTTCCTTTGTTGTGCAAGTTTCAACAATAAAGTGATTCAAACAACTTCTGGTAATGAGTTCTTTCAAACGCATTACCACATTTAATTGACAGACATCAGTCTAATGCTTTGAGATACAGCTTCCAAAGGAAATGGGTCCCTCCATCCAAAAAACAACTTTTCCCCTGGGGCACACAGCAATAATAGGCTTTACACCGACCTATATTTGATTATAATAATCAATTCTAGCACTTTACATAAGCGTAAAATGTGTTGGCTGGTTACAGTTTCAGGTTTTAAATATTTAAAATTCAAGAGGAATATATTTTCAAGAGCAAAACTTGTGATGTCACTCAACAAATGTTATTTTCTTACATTCGTGCAATGAAACAGATGATTCATTTTAAAGCTGGATATGAAGTAATTTTAATCAGAAGGAAATGATGAAAGTGAAAAGTGCAGCATGCAATACATGTCCCTAAATATATAGCTACATGTCACTCATGGTAAATTTCAACATAACTTTCTTGAAATGTACTTCAATTATGATAAATTTACACACAATGAATCTCAGGCATGATGTAGATTTCAAGCTAGCCCTTTCAAATGTTGTAAATGACTGTCAATCAAAGTACATTCCATTGGCATTCATCTAGTTGATGTAAATTTCTCATTTCTCATTTCAGGAAGTTGAAGAAAAAAAAGGTACATTACACGAGCAGCAAGAAAGTTTGTTGCCCTTTCTTAGGAATTAGATTGTCCATATTTCTTAGTGCAACTTGAACAAGCATAATTCATGTTATTCTAGACACGCTCCCATCAAAACAAAATAATTATGTGCATAATGATTATTCTCTAAGGGTAGATGGAGATAAAGGGATAATGAGGATTGGGTGTTTTACATGATGTTCTATAATTTCTCAATTCAATTCATACTTGGAAAAAAAAGCCATGAAAATATATAGGATTGCTCATGTGATGAAGGAATGAGCTCTGGACATGTACAGTAAAAAAAAAAAAACATTAACAAAAATAGGATCTCCCATGAGAAAACAACTACAACAAAAACAAAATGTATAACATCACTGCAAAGAAAGCGCACTTGAGAAACACAAAAATCTAGTCAATGTTATTATGCGCATAATGAATATCAAACACACAGAGAGAGATGAAGGAAAGGCTAAACCATGATGCAGTGTCCTAAAGTGCCTCTTGAATTTTGGAACATTCTTTAAAAAAAACAGTCATGTTTAATAATGCGCATAATGAATATTAAACGAGGAGAGTCGAGTAAAGGCTGACCACATGTAGTGTCTTGAGGGTCTACGAATGTAATCATGAAAAGAAGAAGTCGAAGTTTTCAAGGAGGTGACTCAGTGATATTTACAAGATTTAGACCCCCCCCCCCCCCCTCTCTCCTTTCCCATCTCATGAAAAATTCATGCATCATCCACATCCGCTAAGGACTGTTTTCAAGTAATTTGGAAATTCATCACAGAATTTTCCTTCAAATCCGAATGCCTGTAACATCACACTACATGTAATGGAATAATTTTGTGTCCAAGCAGAAGTTGTTCTAGAAATGTTTGCATTTTGTTGTACTAACATTAATATATTTAAAGTGCTTGGTACTTGAAAATGGTATACTATAACTTTTCAAATGCTACTTGGAAGGGTAAATCTGCCATTTTGAAGAAGTAGTCACTCCCCAATGCTTCCAATGGTGATTTAACATTCAAGATTTTAAAGTGATCTGTTTTATCTATACCAAGGGCCATGAATATCTATGGATAAAACCCAACGTTACAGGAATAAAGAGGATATCGCAGAAATCATCGGGAGGTTTGAAGTTGAAGTCAACCCTGAAATCATTTGATTTTAAGAAAAGCAGAAAAAGATATAGACAAATATTCATGAAAGCTTGATAGAATCTGATTAGAAGTATTGGTTATTTGTGTTTGATCAATTGAAATTCAAACAATTCATAACTTCTTAATTTTAATCAGATTTTGCTCAAACTTCCCCCAATCTGTTTTTTCTTGAACTTTTGTTTCCGCTTCTATTAATACTTTACTCAATATCAGAGTGGACTTCCCTTTTGAGAGTGAGGGGAGGGGGGGGGGGGGGGGGGGGGGGGAGGGGGAGGGGGTAATTAATTGACTTACTTTGTTCTTTTGGTCCGGGTCGTAGGAGGTGAGGTTTTCAACCAGTTCTTTGATCCCGTGGAGGTTACCCTCCTCGACGGCATGGAAGACTGCCATTAATACAAACGATTCATGCTCGTCCTCTATCACATCACAACTCTGTAACGGGAGAAGAAAAAGAAAAAAAGAAATATAATTAATTATTCACATTAGCAATACTACTTCTTCTGACAACAATAAAACAGTAATTATATGGATAATGATAATGATGATAATAATAATATCTGTAATTTCTTTAACATTTATACAACTACTGTTTTTTTCAATGGCTTTATCAATGTAGAAAAATGAACTTATAGTGTAACAAAGTTAAATGGTAAAAAGCATGTTTTGATCCCCCCCCCCCCCCCCCTCTCTCTCTCTTTCTATCCACCTCTCTCCGTTTCCCTCTCTTCTCTCTTCCACTATCTCTATATATATATATACCGGTATATCTTTTTCTTCCTTTTACCTCTCTTTCTCTCTCTCTCTTTCTATCTACCTTTAGCATGTTGGTGTACTCATTTACTCACCTGCTCTCTTTCTCTCTATAAATATTAACCTCTTGAATAAAATCTATTTTTCATATGACACACATTTTTCATATATCTCAGCTCAATATCTATTTTGCAATATACGTCTGCAATGTATAATGGCTTAAAGCAACAGAACACCTGTTTGGATGTGATTTTTAAAATACATTTTCCCCTTTAAAGAAAAAAGCCCCATTGTTAAGGCTAAATATTCTCTGAGACATGGATTTGGAGTTGACAGTTGGCCATGTGCTCTCACGGGAGACCGGAAATTGGGCAGGTGATGTCATAATTGACTCAAAATCCTTGAAGAATGATTTAAGTCTGTTCAGAGCCAGAGGGACGTTAAGTGGTGTAGAAAGAGTATGAGTAAACGCCTTTCTAGCTCTAGATCTGGTGACGATATACTCCTCTTTCCCCTCCTCCCTCCCTCCTCCCAGGTACCTTTTTTTCCTCTTTCTCTTTTTTCCTCTTTCCCCTCTTCACCATTAAAGCTTAATTACAGGTCTATACAACATATTTACAAAGACTTAAAAGAAATAACCAAAGGCAATTTGTATAGCATTTTGAAATGTGAAAATATATTATTGATATATTAAAAGTTTTCAATCAAAATTAGATATCTGTATGCAATAAAATAAGGTATTGGAGTTGCAACCAAATTGATTTCTTGAAAGTCTTTGTGACCATGTTAGATATTTCACTACTCTTTAGGAGTCCAAAACTTTGTCCAATTGAAGACAGACGGGTGTTAACTCATATCATTTTACACAGAGTCAATGCCCTTCTGGCTTCGAAAAGATAAACTGATAGAGATAACTTATATTCCCTCCAGACAAACAATCCTACATCATAACATGTATCATTCAAATCATTATTAAAGGGGCACGTTCCCGCCAGTGTAGTTATCGCTGCTCTAGCCATCGCCATCTTGGTTCCGAAGATCGACTTCTTATTTGCATACAGCTGTCAATCAAAGTACGTGCGGCCTGGCCTGCCTTCGCCAAGCCAGCTGATCGCTGCCGATAGTGACGTCACGAAAGTGGGTGGAAACAGCAGCCGAATCTTAGAGCCGAACTGTGATTGGTATGACTTCGGCACATGTATGCGATTATCGGCATTGTGCGGGCATTCGGAACATGCCATCTGCGTAAGGGCCGTATTCTGTTGGTGTCAATAGGCAGCTAGCACCGTCCGCCAGTGGGTACGTATTTTGAATGCCCTCTGGAATACGGGGAACATGCCCCTTTAAGATCTTGCTACTATCGGATCACACCAAGTATATTCTGATATCAATCAACACACAACGATCTGATAAATGTTTGTTGCGGAAGAGCACTACATGCATGTACATCTCCTCAAAATGCAAAGCTCCCTTCTATGAATGTCATTGTCTCCTGGTTGTCATGGTAATGGGGTAGTAACACATCTTACCCTATCCTTACTCATGCACAAGCACCCAGCATGGGCAAATTATCTCATCTCCTATTAACGCTCACAAATGACAGGATTGAAGGCGAAGAAAATACAAGGGTACATGGAAGAAAAAAAAAGGTCTTCAGGAAATGATTAAAAGAAGAGCGTGAATACACGTACCACAGGCAAAATCAATTACAAAGCCTTCTCCAGAGATAGAAGACAAATTATTAAAATCCGCAATCTACTCATCTTTAAATACTATTTTGGTATAGAACTAGGTGCAAGACAGACAGACAGACTTGGCTGGTGCACATCAAAAAGAAAAAGAAATTGAAATGGGATGTGCAGTGTACAATACGTGTCCATAGAAGGAGGGAGAAATGGGTGAGAGAAAATAACTATAGTGCCAGAAAGGTACAGAGAGGAAATAATGGGAGAGGAAAAAAGAGAGGAAAAAGTGAGAGAAAGGAGAGCAAATTTTACAGGTAGTGACTAGTGAGATGGGGATATAAAGAAAGTGAAGGCAGAGCAAAGGAGACAAAGACACTTAACAAAAGAGAGCATGAGAACAAAATGGAGGGTGGATGGAGCGAGATAGAGAGAGAAAGAGAGTTTCTGAGGCAAAGAGAGATATAAAAACAGAAAGAGAAAGAGAGAGAGAGAGAGCACAAGAGAGAGAGAGAGAGAGCATGAGAGAGAGAGAGAGAGAGAGAGAGAGAGAGAGAGAAAGAGAGTTTCTGTGGCAAAGACAGATATAAAAACAGAAAGAGAAAGAGAGAGAGAGAGCACAAGAGAGAGAGAGAGAGAGAGAGAGCATGAGAGAGAGAGAGAGAGATAGAGAGAGAGAGAGAGAGAGAGAGAGAGAGAGAGAGCATGAGAGAGAGCATGATAACCTTAGAAATAAGAAAAGACACAGACAAAGAGATGCAGTAAGTAAAGAGACAGAATATACCTTCAAAGTGACTGACAGCTCCTGTATCATCAAGACATGAATTACTTTCCAGCACAACTGCGAAACGCATCTCTAAGTGTTCTATAATGGCATATGATGCATGAGCACTTAATGCGCAAGAATCCATCATCTTTTTATTTAATCAAATATTACAGCATTAGAGGAGGTTCTTTCATAGACAGAGATATAAAATTCACTAAAAGTCTCAGTGGTATATTCAACTTACTGTAATATAATTACAGCATACCTGTGTATCATTGTGCAAGGGACTTCAACGCAGTACACACAATACTTTTCTGTTGACAGGAGCTCTTTCAGGATTTGTTGATAATAAAATAATACAAATATGTCTAGTTTGCCCAGGGTATAGAGCCTTATTAGAATTAATACTGGTCTCCCCGAGGGCCCTGCAATTATAATATCATTACCCCACTTTAGTTGGTGTGTGGATATAAAGTGTGATTTTCTCAAGGTATTTTAGTGTTAGGTTAATACCAGAGTTCTTATTTCAGTTAATTAACTGTTTACAAGAGCAAAATCGCACCCCGCACTCTCCTGTATTTATTATTTTATTTCGCTGCTATCATGTTATCAATATATAAGTATTATATGCACACATGTACATAGATAGAGATGCTCTTGACAGAAAAACAGTATTATTTATAAGTGGATGAAATTGTAAAGAGAGAAAAGAAAATGAAGTTCCTTTGAATTCCGACAGCCCTTACATCGCATAAATGCATTTAATGCATGCATGGATACATAATTGTAATATCATTAATTGTGGGAGGGAGGGAAAGAGCATGTGTACATTCCTTACACTTGAATTATTTTCCTATCTTGGAATAATTCTGTCACCTGTGTCGATGCCTCAACATACAAGCCATGTTTAAACCATATTGAATTTTAGTTTCAACATCACATGCAGCCTCATTCACACCTAATGTTGTAACTATCTCAAAAGAAAGAAAACAATTATTCGCAAAATCAAATGACATAAGTGTACTACACTTCTTTCTTTATATTTCAGCACACATCATTAATGAATAACATGCTATTGGGTCTTTAGATTGGTTCTTAGATTTATATATTTGTTTTCCTCACCCTCATTCCCAACTGCTTTACATGTATAATGGTGGCACAAAGAATATGCGTCTGGAATTCAAGCTGCATAATTGTTGAAAATTATAATTTTATTACACAGCGTTAAAACCAAGTTTTTAAGATATGGAGCGGGTAAATGCAAATATGCCATCTTAATGAGGCGTAATGTTAGCTAAACTTTCATTTAGATATACATTTTTTTTTTAAGAAGATATTTCAATGAACGAACATATCGTGTCCTTATTATGCATTTTGCATTTCTGACACGTCTTTACGTGCCTCTACATTTCGCTAAGCTACCTATAAAGTCACACTCAACCTAATTCAACAGTCCCAAGTTAAGGCAAAGGCAGGCTGCTCTTGCACCACATTTGAAATGAAAGAAGACACGTACCCACGACTGAATGAAGGTAACTCGACTCCTCGTTGGTAACTTAATATCTCACAAAGATCTTTGACAGAACACAGTCAAGCACCTTTTCTTTCCAAGTGAAAAACCCTTTTTAGGTGTGGTTACAAAATGTCAGGATCTGAAGACATGGAATATGTATTGACGACGATGTATTGTAACCGGCAAAGACGCATATACATCATACAATGTAAACACTTGACATTTGCAAACAGAGGGCTGAGAACATTAAAGTAATTAGCACTTGTTTTCCTAAGGTGATCACAAATGTACATATCTTAACAAGTTAACATGCAGGGTGTTACACATTACATTAGTGGGTAACAAATGGAAAGTGGAGAATAGATTTCAGGGTATATGAAGCTCAGCAGTTCAATATATGAACTAAACATACATAATTATTTGGATGCCTGCACTGATTGTCACAGACTAATTACTATTTAAACAATAAACAGCTTCTATCTACCGTAATTGAATTTTAAATGGGCCAAGCATTTGGATAAAAATTTTTTGAATCTAATACAGTTAGCTTTCATCCGATGAATACAAAGGCCTGTTCTTTATTTTCCGCTTCGTCATTTCATCCCTCTAGTTTTCAGGAATATATTATCAGACATTAAATGATACGACTGCTCCCAGGTGATTGTTGTACACAAGCCAATCTCCTGAATTCTTGATCAATTAACATACTTATCCTTACCCATAAGCCTAACTTGAGAGCCAACAGCGGGTCAAGCTCGCTATCCATAAGGACCGCTATTCATAAGGATTATTTTCATAAGGACCACTATCCATAATGCATAAACAAAATGAATAGCGGCTCTTATAAATAGCGAGCAAACCATAGCCAATTTACGTTGCTTTTCATAAGGACCGCCATTCATAAGGACCACTATTCATAAGGACCGCTATCCATGACGTGTGACAAAATGAATAGCAGTCTTTTATAAATAGGGGTCCTTATAAATAGCGAGCAGACCCACCAACAGCAGCCTATCCTTATCCTAAACTTAACATAAAACCAAATTACTACCCTAACTCTCTACCCCCTGACAAAATAAAGCCTAGAGCCAATGTCAGGTCATCGGGTGCTCTATATTGATGGGATGCACTCGATCCTTTTGGACTTCCCTCATAAACATCTCTGATCTAAATGTCTCCAACGCTCTTTCCTCGCCTTCACCCTCACTACCCCCATTCCCTGTCTTCTCGCCGACCTACGCCAGCTCCGTCCGTCTGACATTTTCAGCTTGCCATCCACCGGGCCCAAATTAACCGGGACTCGATCAGCCGAGCATGAACGCTTTCAATTTCCTGGCGTGAACACGGCACAAACGCCATCCACCCCCAGAGAGAGAGCCAGGCACAATGATATCAATCACAAATTTGATCACCGATCATTTGCGAATAATGAGAACAGTAAATTGAGCGTGCATTACTCTCGTCCATTTCCCTGGCGAAAAACTGATGAAGACGGATAGAAAGAAAATCAATGGGGTTTTGTTCGCTGCAGTCGATGTTCATTTTGTTTTCGTTTTGCAAATCGATTTCCACCGTCCTACAAAGTACATGCACTGCCTCAATGCATACTGAGAATGAAAAATTTGTTTGACATTTATAGCGGCCACCATTTCCTTTAATTTATAGTGTTTGAACTGTCTTGAGCCTTCATGATGTTAACCTTTCATGGCTAATTGGCTTATCGAAAAATGTTTCACGACTCTTAAGCAAAGATCAACAACAAAATAGAATATACGACATGGCATATAGTATTTTGAATCTAATTTCAAATGATTAAGAAATTTGAAGACTCAATTGTACAGGGCAGATATATTCATTCGTTTTGCATAAAACAAAAAGGTTGTAAAGGGCGTGCATGAAATATGATTTTGGTAGGATTTGTTTGTGATATTAAATCTGAACTGAATGAACTAGATGCACAAGCATGGCTCCAGATGGTAAGGAAACTTGGCCTTTTGTGCCCCTCCCCTTTTCCTCTCCAGTTTTCCTCTCCAGTTTTCTCTAGATAAGGGAGGGGGATAGGGAAGAGGTGAGGTGTTTGGGAGAGAGGAAGGGGAAGGGGGGGGGGCAGAAGGAAATGGTGTAATTCCTGTCATTAATATCATGTGATTAATATCATGTGATCATTTTAAAAGATTTAAACAAATATAACAAAATATCATGTGATCAGTGATCATTTATTTGCATAACATGGATGTCCATCCATTTAAATATTCATATAGTGTACATGAACGTGTACACCAAACAGCTTTGTTCCTTTCCTCAAATTGTAAATGTATTTCATAGTTTCATACAGTAACTTTCAGCCATAAATGATGAACCTTTTGAAGTTGTATATGTTGTATATTGTCATCTGTCAAACTGATCCATAAAAGTATGCAAAGTATATTGAACAGTGCATGTTATGATCATAAATCAATCACGAATAATATTTTCAACAGATTCTTAGTCAACAGCCACTAAAAGGTGGGAAAAGGCCATTGATGATCAACATTTATGCCCTTATCATTGCCATGACAAAGTCTGTAGGCCAACAGATATATTTCAAAAGAATATATACTACATAAATGAGATCAAGAGAAGAGCAAGATTATAATCAAAATTGGATAAATACCGGCAAGTGGAAAACATGCAACGGAACCATAAATGTATGATATCATACTTACATGTTTACTGCATGTGTTAATCCTAAGAATTCACCAAAGTAAAATGTGAAACACTACATGTAGTTCTTGAAGTGAGGTCTCCTTAAAATATTAAATCCTCAAGCCCAATCCAGAGAGGTTTTTTAAAGCCAAGAGTCAACTACCAGTATCGAGGAAGAAAGTTAAGCACAAGTCATTGCCAATTTGATCTACCAGTATTTTCCATGTTTGAATAGAGCAATCATGTAAGGGTGTATAAGTGCAGGTACATGTATCCATATAGTCATACAAGACCTGCCTCTCCTTAGGTTCTAATCCACCGTAATTACAAAGGAACCTCTAACAAGCAAAGTCAAAGTGTGTGGTGAGCACGGCGAGTCATGAAGCCAGACCACGTCCTATTAGATTCCATCACGCCAGCCAAGGCGTAAGCCAAGTGTGAAGTGTTCGCAATCGCTCGGAGCAGTAACGTGATCAGCGATGGTTCTTGTTATTACAATCGGGGCATGGGCAGTCAACGCTCTCCGCAACTCACCTCCAGTCTCCCCATTGCTTGGTCACACAGGAAGGGGGAATGAGCGTGGGTTAGGGAGGGGGCCGAGGGGGTGGGTTAATGGGGAGAGGGTGGGGAGAGGGTGGGGGTAATGGGGGAGGGGGTGGGATAATGGGGAGGGGGTTTGGAAATGAGCGTGGGTTGGGGAGGGGGGAGGGGGTGGGTTAATGGGGAGAGGGTGGGGGTAATGGGGAGAGGGTGGGGGTAATGGGGACAGGGTGGGGGTAATGGGGACAGGGTGGGGGTAATGGGGGAGGGGGTGGGATAATGGGGAGGGGGTTTGGAAATGAGCATGGGGTAGGGAGGGGGAGGGTGGGGTAATGGAGAGGGGTGGGGTAATGGGGTGGGGTAATGGGGAGGGGAACTGGGAGGCAATTACTTCAACTCTATGCTAAAATGGTTTCACAAGCAGACTTTCTCTTGACTGTTTGACCATAAAAAGAAGGGGAAAGGGGTGCTTGGAATGTGAGGATAGAGAAAGGAAGAAAGGGGGAAGGAAAGAAAAGAGAAAAGATGAAACAGGGCAAAGAGGAAAGGAATAAAAGAGCAAAGAGGAAATTGGAAGGGGGAAAGGTGAATGAGGAACGGGAAGTTATACAGGCCCCTGGGAAGAAAGCAAGAAACTCCACCTTCACTTAAAATGGTGTCACAGATAGATTGGGGGAAGGCAACGTACTGGGTTATACATTGATTCATAACTTGATGAGGACTACGTGATATGACTAGCAAACCCTGTTATGAGGCAATTGGATAGCCCCAAAAGCGTAGGAAACCACATGCATCATAATCCCAGTGCTGAAGGCTAAGATAGGAATTACACAGCCAGCTTAAAGGGATAGATTATTTCCCAATCTGATAAATATCTACTAGCACATTTAACACATTTATACGGCAGTCTATCAAATATTACGTTGATCAATGTAACCTAAAGCTGTATGTTTATCTGTATTAAAAAGTGCATGGACACAGATAACTTAAAATATCATTTCAATCAGATAATGGATTGCACTAAAAAAAAAATAATCCTGAAACATCAAAGCAGTATTATTATTTCCAAACTATAAGAAGTATTATGGATCAAATTAAAATCTACCCAATGTAATATCTTCATAAAAGTTATTTTTTGTTTCATTGATTATGTGTACTGTACCTAAATGTAGAAATGCTCACTTGATATACAAATAAAAAGTTGTTTCAGCTGTAAGATAAGAATGTCGAAACTATAAGGCTTACAAAAACGCTATATATTACTGCAATGGAGGACATCTGTTAGAAAAGAGAATGAGCATAGCATGAACTATTGAGGAATGGCCTAATTTTGAGGGTAAAATGACAGAAAAACAAAATTATGACAAAATAAAAGTGCTGATTTGGAACATAAAGTACTCGGTCAATCTAAACCTAAAACAGAACAATGATGCAAAGATAGGCCTCGATCATAAACAGGATACGATCAGAGAAAAACAAAATTATGAAAAATCATTGTGCTGATTTACAGCATAATTAGTCGGTCAATCCACATGAAAACAGCTGCATCCTGTGGTCAATAAAGGATGAGCTTTTTGATCGGTGTCCTTTGAGAAAGATGAGAGATGGATTATAACGGGCTTTTGATCATAGATAGCAGACGCAGCTCCAGGATTTTGTAAAAGAAAAGGGGATACATTTCCCCTAAAAACCTGACAAGCACAACAAAAAAAGAGGCCATCAGATATTTTGGGCGACTTAAGACCCTCCAAAATCAAGAGGGTTGTGGGGTCCCCATATACACAAATCTATGATGAGCATAACAAAAGGGGGGGGGGGGGTTCCAACCCCCTGTGATATCCTCCCCATGGACATACCCCAGGATAGATAGCCATTACATGAACAAAATAGAGCAATAATCCTCTTTCCTGTTCACAATAGTTGAGTGATGCATTAATTCTTTATTGGCTAGAATTTGTGAAAGTTGATATGGGTCCATTAAGTGCAAGGATTTTTGGATTTTTGGACAGGGTTGATAAATGGTGCAGGATGTTGAACCCTTTTTTGTAACTGTTTGTTCATCAATTTCCCCTTAAATATTTTAACAAGCAAATAGTCACTATCGAAGTCACTATCATGTTTTAGAATGATTTGTGTAATACGTCTTGTCTGATAATAATTGGGAAAAAATACTTAATCATCAATTATCTTATCCTCTCTCATTGTCCAGTTTTTGCTATGAATTTGTCAGAATCGTTGTATAATAAATCCATTATGACCTGTTGCTATATTAATGCTCATGAGTTTTGTTGCAACCTTTAATATAACATTTACCTTCACATTGTTGCAGAGACTACATTGTGCAAAAGGAAAAGGAGGGGTTTATTTATTGATTAATTGCAGCTGCAATTATATGTTTAGGTGCAAAATCAATACCGTTTTATAAAAATCATTTCTTGGCAGTAAATTACTTAAATAACTGTAAACTCATGACTCATTGAATGTTCATATCCTGCACTTTCTCGCCCCTCTCTCAAACCCAGTTGCCAGAGTCTGGATATGAAACAAAATCTTAACCTCCCATGCTTGAAAAAACAAAACAAAACAAAACGAGAAAAAAATATTCACAGAGTCTCTAAGGTGTCAATTCACAGGAAATTCAAGAAAAATCAAAGAGATATAAACTAAAGCATGGTTCCGGAGAAAAATAAATAACAACTAAACCAATGACACTTTACATAATTCGTTATTCAAATTTATGTACTGCTTTATGTAGATTGGAGAGAGGGATTTAGGAGAGGTGAGCAAAGGGGCTCGATCTTAATACTCTTTAAGTCTCTTTTTGTATGTGCTCCAATTGCCATAGCTGATACACTATTTTATACAGGCTGCTTCATTACAAAACACTATAGAAATGTCAGCATCTGAGTTGCATTGATTTGACTACCGTGAGCTTAGACAGCTAAAAACCCTTGTCCTATTCCATTTCTTTTCCAAACCATACCTCAAATGGGAGTGTCACGGTGACAGCTACGAGAAGAGAAAGCCAATACTCTGTTATTAAATCCAATGGCATTGAGGGGGTATTAGGGACGTAATACTTAGACCTGTTAAAATATGATATCATTCTGAAATCAATCACCTCTAAATGCATATCATTTTCAGGCTCCTGTTACTGAATTTCATTCCACCAAAGCCATGATGTATCTCCCTTTCATGGAAGGGAATTAAGGGAAAATTACAAGTCAACCATTCCCATTTAGCTCACTGGCGTACATGGAGTATACCTTTTCTTCTGCTTTAGGGGAATTTAATGTCACATGGACATCCTACACTAATTGAAAAATGGTTGGTGGTTAAATATCAATATTGTATTATTTTTGTCATTCTGGCTTGACCAATATCAATCACTTTTGACCAGAGTTACCAGAATTACTGTTAGTTACAGGTAGTTATAACATTTCAAGGCTAAACTTGAGCTTTTTCGTACCAGACCTCTAATATCTTGCTTGTATCTGGCTATCTCTTTACCTTTGTGATAATATGCCACTGAATAACTCTATTTCCCTTAACTGAAACTTGAATTCGTCTCAACAGTATATTCATTCATTCAAAAGCACAGAGATTCATGTGGAATATAAACACTGTTTCGGCTCACATGTAAAGGCCTATAAAGCTAAAATGTATCATGTTTGTAATGTCACGGGCACAAGCAGTCAATCAACACAAAGTGACATGCCTCATGAATTATATTTTGCGGGGACCATATCTGCATCATCATCCTCATCATCGTAACTGATGTGTGGCCAAGTGTGAGGCACAGTTCTAGGTGGGGCCTCAGGAAACGAGAGCCCCCTAGCTCAGCCACTGCATGTTCTCATTAAAGATAAAGTTGAGCTTTTATTGGTCATGGGAAATGAATTGTGAAAGTATGGAAAAGGTTGATTTTATTGTACATAGAAATTCACGTACAAAATTAGATTTTGATGTGATTCCAATTTCATGCACTGCTCACAGAAATGAGTTTATGAGACTACACATGCATATAATTAAGGCAAAACATTCTACTATGATATTATTCCAAAGTGATATAATGTACATAGCAGAATGAAAAAGCTCACAGATAATCTTAAACAATCACTCTACTTTCTCTTTAAGTAACAAAAAAGGGTTTCCTGTGGGAGGGGGGGGGGGGGTTGCGCCCTACCACAGCACAGATTAAATTAACAGGTGAGCCTGATAGGCCGACACACATGGCTCTCACATATGGCTTAATGCTAGAGGTCCGACCCATTATCTGGGTGCAGGATTTCATAAATAGGTGAACAAAAATAGCCTTTCTGGCTTAATCAAATTGGCAATTCATTTTTTGTTTGTATGAATAAAAAGTACATGTATTTTTATAAAAGTAATACATTCAGCAATTTTGTTAAAGCCCCTCTAAAGTGTTGGGAGCCCCAAAAATGTGATAGCAAAATTTAACTCAAAATTGTATTATAATTTGAAAGAGGATATCATTTACGACACACATTTCTGCAAGGATTTTCAAAACAAATGTGTTTGAAGTCTAATATTGATGAAAGAATACAAAACTTAGGTTTTCTGCGTACAACAGAAACACAAAATTATGTATTCTTTAATCAATATTTGTCTTTAAACACATTTTTGGCTATTAGCTGGTTAAAGCAAAAACACTGATAATCTGAAACAAATCAGATGTTTTTTTAAAGATTAAG